AATGGCGGACAAAAACACACCCTGCCTGTCGGATTTTACTTTCCCCAATATAATGTCTTGCGCATCGCTCATCTGACGAAGAACCTGACTGTTTATATATGGTCACAAAAATACACTCAAAAAAAAAACCCTCAATTCAGTTTTGCTTTTGGTAGAATTCAGGAAATGAGCTTGTTTTACAGATATGATCTTCCATCAATATATCCATCCTACTACAGCAAGCACTACTACAGATATAATGATAATGCCCGGTATATGTACTACCGTAATTATCTCACTTATTACTCGCCACTGGATCGTCACTGGCTTACGTCAACCAACAAATATGCAAATTCCTACTAGATGAGGTATAGCCCGATCTTATTCAACACGCTTCTTCTCTGGAAATTGATGCTTGCGCAGGTGGTTTTCAACAAGTACAGCAAAAAATTTTCATCGATGAATATCGGGAAATTGGGCAGAGTGCTTGCAGTGATTCACAACACACACTTATCGAATCTCCAAGCCGCATCACATTACCAAGACTGCTCGGAAAATCAGTGCGGGGACACGACATTAATAATTTTTTTTTGCATCCATCCTGCTCTTTCAAATTATGCCTTGAGATTTAGGATTTTTAAGAAACTGAAGTTTAAAATTTAGAACTAAATTTCTAGTATACATCTTTTGAGGTAAAATTCACTGGCAAATAATTCAGAATTTTGCAGAAAAATTCTTTTGAAGTTTTCCGGTTACATCGCAAATTCACATCAGCGGTCTCAGTGATTTTCACAGTTGCAAAATACCCATAGTCTGTCAGAAAGTCAAAAGACAAAACCTCTTCGCATAAATGACAGCAAATGCCGATAGCAATCACCAGCTAGCAAAGTTGTTGATGATTCCCTCTTCTCACTACTGTTGCTTACAAGCATGTTGATGGCCGAATTCACTAAATAGCATATGCCAGTACCAATTTACCATTGAAACGAATGAATTCCAGAGGAATTGCTTGCATCACCGTATGTACTAGAATCAAAATCTTATTTTAAAAGGCAACAAACTAGTGTGTTTTTTCGCTTTTCAGGATGCGCTAGCTGCGGCACAGTCCGTCGGTTTCAATTGTAGAAAATACGAAGCCAAGCGCTACGATGCATTGTAGAAATTTTTTTTTTTCGGATATCTTTATCATCGAAAAACAATCGAATCAGACAATTTTCTGGATACCACTTTCAACAGGCGATGCGAAATCGCTGCTTTCTACACTCGTAAAAGTCAAGAGAGCGGCAAGAACATGTTTTTCGTGGAATTTCATGTTGTTTATAAAGAAAGAATTCCGAATATTCTCGTACAGCAATATAATTCTTCAGATAATTCAAAAATCTGCAGAATGCTATAGACTTTGTTTTTAGCTCGTAAAGTACTTATAACAGTGCCATCAGGTCCAAAATTTAGGGTTTTTTAAAAAATGAGGTTTAAAATTCAGAATTATACCTACAGTACATTTATTAAGGTAAAACTCAATCACTAACAAATAATTTAGAATTTTGTCAAAAAAATACTTACGAATCGGATGTCTACATAGACTTTCTAAGCGATTTTCACTGTTGCAGAACATCCATGGCACAAAAACCAATTAACTCCTAGCTCGTACTTCCCTCTTCTGCTCGTTGCGAAGAAAAACAATAGCTGGCGGATAATTTGAAGTAACACAGAAGCAGCGGAAGGAGAAAACGCAACAAGTACTCTCCTCCGATTGATCGAAAATGGAAAGCAAAAAGACGAATCTGAAATCTTTTAGTCGCGCATGAGTAGGGGACACTCCCTTAAAATTCCATCCTTTCAGCTTTTCTCGTCCCCGGGTTAGCAATTTTCCCGTCAAAACTTCCCGAGTTGGCAATTTTCTCGCCAAAACTTTCGCGTAAAAGATCACCAGTAGGCTAATCTCCGAATGAGGCTCATCCATGAAAAAGACGTCATCCGCATTCTTAGGTGGTTTATGATGTAACGACAGTGGCACATTGTATCGGAATATAAAATCTGCGCACTTATCAAGCTTACGAAACACAGAGGATCACATACAAATGTATGAGGTGCGTCGTTTCAGATTTCAGCTACTGGGGGTCCATTTCAGTTCTGATACCCAAAACATGAGAACGATACTTTTGCTCGGAAACCTATCTTTCTTTTCAAAATTTCGCTCAAACATTCTTCATGGACCTCTAGTTTATGTGATATTTTTCAAAGTTTCACCGTTAAATCTCCCAGCACCTCGACATGAATACTGTTTGAAAGAGCATTAATTCAAGCTGCAGCAAGAAAAAAGTTATAATCAATACCTCCTTATATACAACGAAGGAAAAATTACATCAAAAAGCGATGCGTATTTGTTCAAAAAAATTATTAAAGACATTTTCACATTAATCATTCTATACATATATGTATAGCAAAGCTTTTTTACAGAGTCCTATACAAGCTGTAAAAATACAAAAGCATCAGAAATGCAGTGCCCCTAGTAGGAAGTACCAGTAGCAATGGTAAGGCTATCGATGACTTCCTCATTTGAGGGTTATTAGCCGCTGATAAGTTTGGCTCTATGGTATGAGTCCTAATGAACTGAAACGTTTTAATCCCAGCTAAATTATTAATTTTGATACGTACTGCAGTATCAGTTTTTAATTTATCCAATTTATTTCACTGTCGCCTAATAGGAACTAGTGGAATGGCGCTAATTAACCTGATTTGGCTCAGCTCACCTGTAACCCTACAATTCGACCTATTACCCTCCTCTCACTAATCCTTAACAATTCGACCTACTTCGCTCCACTCACTAATTTCTAACAGTTCCACCAAACTCTAAATAATTCCATATTACCTACCTTCTCACTAACTAACTATCTTGCCCTCTTTTTCCTTCCATTAATTTTCCCTATATAAACCCGTTCCGAAAACCCAGGTTCTTAGTTTCGAAATCAACACGCGTCACTGGTCTGCCACGTCCTGCCACAACTGACTCTACTAACTGGCCGCCTTGATACGACTGGACTAGCGTCTTCTTCTGCTGAATAGCTTGTGCGACGCCCCAGCTCGTCGTTTTATTGAAGTGAAGCTTTTGTTGGGAATAAAGTGCTCGCACTCTTTGCTGTCTTCCGCTGCTGCAGTCAAAGACCACGTGAGGACCTAAGACATCAACTAAATATTATTACCACTGAAACGAATGAACGAATCGTAGAGGGATTGGTTGTCCTACTGGAAAAGTTCGAAAAAAGACTTCTGACGTATTTTGACAAATGAAAATCTACATTTGTTCGATTGAATAACCATCAGGTACCAGTGAGTAGTACTAGCGAAAAAGAAAATACAATCACGAAAGAGAATGTACAACTATAAACATCAAACATGAGCGATGACAGATTGAGGCAAATGGCCTATGACTGAAGGGATTTTGGTAAATCTTCGATTGGTACATGGCCGTATTTTGAAAACACTAATTTGACTCACAATAATTCGTTCAAGCAATCTTAAAAACATGCAAAAAATTCACTCAACCGCTTAAATTTGTACTTTAAGGCAGTCCAAAGAGACCCTCGTGGCACCACTGCCCTTCATTCCCAGTGGAGGGTGGAAATATGGAGGAGATCTTGACCTAGATTGACAAAGAACTTGACATTTCTTCAAAAAAAAAAGACATCTTTGGTTATGTACATTGATTAGGATTCTTTTGGAGGGAAAGTAATTTACATGCTGGAACACTATTTCCATATTTTAATGACACCATCTCGACTCGATGAAATCAAGTAGTCGCCAGAGCAAAGAAGATCCGAGATCGGGCTTTTGTGGCAAATCGTTAGCTGAAAATTCAAACAATTCTTTAAAAACTGCCGAAAAATATGTAAATCAATGAAAATTATGAAAAAACTGAACCAAGCATAATCTATGCAATCATTTATTCCACACAGTTCAGCCTACCACTGTTTATAAACTTTTCCCGCATTTTTTCTTGAGCATCATGAACCAAACAAACAATCTTCCTCTTCCAAAAGATGTTGTGGGAAAGCTAAGAAAACTAACGGTAAAATGGCAGAATTCCACCCTAGCATTAAAAGAACTTATGCGGACGTATTGGAAATAAAATAGCAAGGAAGGGCCAGAGAAACCCTGTCAAAAATGGTCATATCAAGCAGGATCGGCTGGGAGGTCAAAGTTGTGAAGTGGTAATTTGCTGCCGCAGATAGGCCGAAGCATACCTTGTAAAATAAGGGGCCAAGTTGTACGGGTGAAGAGAAGTGTAATGAAAAAAAGTAATCAAACATCAATTAAGGCTTTTCTAAGGGATTTGTTCCCAGATTTGTAAACGTAGCGCAAATTTTGGAATTGCTTTTTACCAGAAATTCTCCCCAATGGAAGGTGCAAGTTCATAAAAATTACGCAAAATTGCTAACCTGTACTTCCAGTGGATTAACACAGTACAGAGGTTCAACGGTTGCTCCCGATACTGATTCACTTAAAATTTCCACCGTATCTTTGACCGATTTGTTGTAGGTGATCGATGCGAAACGCTTTGATGCTGATACTGAAGAAATCGCTTCGGCTGTCCTCTTCAGCGGTCCAGAAAGATAGAAGCATTCTTTTGGATTTGATAAATTGTACGATCGCAGTGCACCCAAACTATCACCCGTAAAAATGCGACCCGTTGATGGGCATGTAGCTAGAGCTGTTGTAACATGCCTATCATCCTGAAATAGTGTTAAAAGTCAAGGAAAATTATAAACAGAAAAATTATACCCACATAAAAGGGTCACCCTGATACCCTATTTAAGGTTAAAAGAAAAATGTGTAAGTGCTGTTGGAAAATATAAGAAAGGATGATAGAAAAGGAAGGATGTGAAAAAGAAGTATTAAACTGGGTAAGAAATGTTTCGGTCCATTAAGTTGTATACATTTCTTACCGATACCACAGTTGGACTTTGTCAGTACGACGGCTATAATACTCAGCTGTAATTCATAGCATCGTTCCCCAGCTACTTTAAATCATCTCACATTCTAAGGGGCCGCTGTACCGAAAAGATGGGTGAATAAAAATATAAAAATATTTAAATATCAGAAAAAGAGATCCTCGGTCCCCTCCCCTGCTATTTATAAACAAGATATTTATTAGAAGCCTCCGGTAGACGTCTCATTATTTCAAAACCTGGCAAACAGGGAGTCACAAATCATTTCGCCGTCAGTTAAAGACAAACCCTAAATGTAGCCGCAAAAAAAAAAATCCACCAATACTCCGCCACTACAGCCATTTAAGAAATGTGTCTGTCCGAGTACAGCTTGTGAATAAAGATTTAATTACAGCACCAATAAAATATAACAAACAATAGTAAAGGGGCACGGTGCACACAGTAGCCGAGGAGTAATCGATAGGGCGATCGAGTGGAACACGCGGCCGGGGAGCAATCGATACGATGGAAGGAGCCGGTCACTGTGCACACAGTGTGCACTTGGGGAGGCGTACTGGCCGTCCCTCAACCTTGCTCACAACCTATGCTGAATACCACACACACCACAACAGGGCAAAACATAAAGATCACTGTCTTACCTCCCGCCATCAAAAGAACTAAAAAATGAAATGAAGGCATAATTTCGATCATAAAATAAAGGAATAATTTAGACAGACCTACTTTAGAATAATCAAGAGGTTGTCGGCCGTTATAAAATGGCCAAATAACATGCGTCCGCTGCGCGGTTTCCAGATTCCATCGAGAAAGCTCAAATGCTGATGACGATGCAGTCCAGATATCGGTTAGTGACCTTGGTTCGTTCAATGGATAGGCTGGCCAACAGCGCAACATACGGCACGAATCGCACGGATGAGGCCAACTATTCACTTCGATGCCAAACCTGAAACTGATTTTACTATTATCCAAAAGAAAAATCAGCATTTTTGCGCTGGGATAAAGGCACATGCCCAATTTAAACACCAACAAAATCTGGATTTATGCCTACGGTAAGTTTTAAAATTGAGAATTACGAAAAGCAAAAAAAGCGATACCTTAAATCCCAGAGTATAATATATCTATTCGTTGAGGTAAAACACATCCAATTTTGCTTAAATGTATCAATACAAAACGATGTGATCAAGCCATATTCGTTTTTGATACGATATTGCCATAGTGGTTTTGGCTTACGTTTTTCTGGCACTCTGAAAGATACAAACTGATAAAAATCTCAAAACTTTTCAAAAAAAAACCATCTGAGAAGCATTTCTGAGAATATCAGTTCTGTTCGGGGTGGAATGTTGGTGATGTTACTGGGAAGAATATTATAAAAATAAAAAGTTAACAAAAACAAAAAATAAAAAGCAAGAAAGAATGGAATAAAGAGAACAGAAGAGAAAAAGAAGGTAAGAAATGAAAATTAGAAAATTTGTGAGATTATTACAATAGTAAGAAATGTTTCGATTCATTAATTTGTATACATTTCTTACCATTACCACAACTGGACCTCATATTACAAAAACTCAAAGAAAGCACTCGGAAGTAAGATGCTCCATCAAGGGTAGTCATCCCGGCAAGACTATCCATGATTTTCCTTCCGCTTAAGCAGGCAAGATAGAGCAGCAAAATTGCTTGACATATAAAAGGGATAGGTTTTCTTATGCATGCATTCAGCGCAAAAGATTGAGCCCGAAAATGCACATTACGTCAAAAAAAACAAAAAAGTTTTGAATTCAAATATTATTCAAAAAGAGATTCCGAAAATTTCGCCCTGATTTTCCTCAAATTTCCTTGAAAAGTTTCAAATTGCATTTCCTCCAAACATCAAATTTCAAAAATTTATCTACCAATTTGTCAAATCGTTTTCACGTAAATTGGTACTAACATATCCCAAGAAGTCAAACCAGCCATCAGCTTGTTTCTAAGCAACTCTCAAAAGAAAAAGCCATTAAAAGGTTTGCCAGCAAGTGGTTGCTGTTGGCATTTACTGCCGCTCGAACATTGAATGGAATGTCGGCGCTTCACATAAAGGTGAATACGGAAGGGATTCTGATTTTTTACAAGACATATTTCCACTTTTTTTCAAAAATATTTGGCTTTCAGTTGAACAGTTAAAAATTGAAATTCCGACAACGCAGTGATTCAAGGCACATATTTCTCCAGCAGCATAAGTTTTATGTTGATGTAGTCTAGATGTAAAATCTGTGTAAAAAATGGTTTTGTAACCTACAGCTATACAATCTCGTCTGCGGTTTTTAAAACAAATCTCGCAGCAAATTTCGTCCAATTTCAAAAGCCACACCTACCTACAATCGACACAGTAAATATTGCTATGATGAGTGAGGACATAGAGAAGGTTATCCACAGCAATTATATCCACTGGGCTGCCCTCTTCATCCTTGTTGAATGCGATTGTCACCAACGATTGATTACGTTGAGCATCCACAATGCTAACACCACAGTCCTCACTAGCAACAGCAAGATGTGAACCCGTTTCACCCAGAAATTGCACTGAATTGATCTGTTGGCCTAAAAAATTTGATAATTTCACTGATTTGACCCAAATGTGCCATCAGGATTAGCTTAATAACTCACAAATACATAATAAGCAGCGCATACTGAAGATTTTTGATCCTCCCTCCCCACCCCCTCTCCCTCGAGATCCGGAGGAAATCCAATTTATCAAGATCCAGATCAAGGCTTATTGGCTTCATCTTAATATTTTAGACAATTAGGGCAGCCCAGGATTAAACAGCTCGACATAAGCATACTACTCACCCTCGGATAAGATGTTACTCTTCGCAGCATATCACTGCTCATCTTGTATAACATTTTCTACTTTTACTAACATACTTACTTCTCCTAATAACATGCTTTATACAAATAATTTAAAATTAATTTTCACCAACTACAGTTACCACATTCGTCGTGCTGAGGTGTTCCATTTGTGGTAATGGTAAGAAACGCATAAGACTTAACGGACCTAAACATTTCCTACCACTATAATGATTTTACTAACTTGACTAATTTCGTAATTCTCATTTCCCACCTTTTTTTTGATTCTTCTTATTTTAACCTTTGTTAAAATATAATATTTTTCTATTACAAATAGTTACTGTATAATTCATGTCCAGAAAACTTCTTTAAGGGACAAGCGGTAGCGGTACTGAGTAGCATGAAGTTGAGCAATAACAGCTCTGTGATGCCCTTCGATGTCCAGGGTTGCATACGCGTTTTGCGCCCAGAGCGTGAAATTTTTTCAGAAAACATCACGAACATGGGATACCCACACCGACTGCCCGAACGGTATCAGTAGTTAAAAAAAAAAACCGATGTTTCAACGTTGTACTCCTTTCCGCCACAGATACATCAAAAACTCCGCTCTGAATTCTACTTTTTTTCTAAGCTTGCCAATTCCATGTAGACTTTTTAATGGATTCTGTTATTTTACTGGTTTTTCCATGTATCCATTCGATATTTTATGAGAAATGACTAACTTGAAAATGAAATTGTTGCATCTGCTCGAATAGCTGTGTTGAATTCACCCTGTATTCGATTCAGTGACCAAAGTTTCACAGCACCATCATTTCCCGCACTTGCAAAATGCGAACCATTCGCATTCTGTGCCAATCTTGAAGAATTACTTCATTATTGAGGGAGAAAATACAAAAAAGAGGGCTAAAATGAAAAATTACTATATTATTGGAAAAAAAACAGAAAAAAGAGGGTCGGAAACGACCGAAATCCCCCCCCCCTCCTAACAAAAAAGATAAAAGAAAAACTCAATAA